CCCGGTCCCCCACCACGCCCATGGCGTCCCCGTCCAGCCTGTGCACGTTGATGGTGTTGGTGGCCTCGCACGTCCAGAACAGCGTCCGGCTATAGACGTCGATGCTGAGGTCGTGGGGCTGCCTGTCTGGGCTTTGGTTGGGGCTCGGGGTGGTCAGGATGAAGGGCTGTAAAGCAGTGAGAAAGGAACGCCGGCTAAGGCAGGGCCGGGAGGGCCGAGGCCTCGGGGTCCGAGTTCAGGCTCCAACCCGACCCAATCAGCTCTCACCCACACGCGCACCGCAGAGTGAAACTGACGCCCACAGCAGCCTCCCTCGGGGAGAGCGCTCGCCCATTCACCCAGGTCTCGGGCCCACCCACGTGGATTCAGCGCCCGCCCTCCCACCAGCACTGTCGCTCTCCCGGTCCTGTTCCTGCCGAAGGGCCGCCTGACGGCTGAACCCAGGATCCCAGACCCCTTCCAAGACATCGCTCTGCTTTCTTGTTTTCTTAGACGCCTGCTGTTTTTCAAACTGAAGGCGCCAGAACCAAGTGTAGAGAACGGAGGTGAACCTCGCACAACCCTCTCCTCCAAAGGAGAGGCCAGGGTTCACGGCCCAGCGAGGGTGCAGGGCCAGGGGGGGCCCTAAAACCAGACTTGGGACACCAGTCATCAGAAAAGCCAGCTGAGAACCACACATGCTAAAGCGCGGATCAACCCCGAACACGTGACGCTCGTGAAATAAGCCAGACACAAAAACATACATGCTCAGTGTGTGATGCCACTCACATGAAGTACTTAGAACAGTCAAATTCACAGACAGAAAGGAGGACGGTGGGTGCCCGGGGCTGGCAGGAGGGGTGGGGAATTCAGTGTGTCCTGGGGGCAGCGTGTCAGTTGGAGAACACGAACAGTTCTGGAGATGACGTTCTGGAGATGACGGTGGCCTACCAAAGGGTGCCATGCGAACGTACTCAGTGTCACTGAACCATACACTTCAGAACTATCAAAATGGGTCTGCTATGAATATTTGCCACAGTAAGAAATTTTAAATGAACAGGTAAGAAAACTTAGCCAAGAATGTAATAATTTAAAACATCATCTGTGGGGGACTTGCGGGGGGCCCTAAGGAAGAATCAAAGCCAGCCGTGGTTAGAGCATCCGCCTGCATACCAAAGGGTGGCAGGTTCGATTCACAGTCAAGGGCATGTACCTGGGTTGCAGGTCCGATCCCCGGCCCCAGTTGGGGTGCATGTGGAAGGCAACCAATTAGTGTGTCTCTCTCATATCAATGTACGTGGAAGGCAACCAATTAGTGCGTCTCTCTCACATCGATGTTTCTCTCTCTCTCTCTCTCCTACACCCACCTCCCCTTCCACGTCTCTAAAAATCAGTGGAAAGACTATCCTCCGATGAGGATTAACAAGCAAACAAGCAAGACTCAAAACCAGAGCCACAGGAGGGGGGAGGCTCAGCAAGAGAAGAGGAGCGAACCATGTTTCCAAATTCAGTGAAAACCCAGAAGCTGCTCCTAAAAGGGCTTTTTCTTCAAAATCTTTCCATGCTTTTGCCCAGCTTTCTAAAGGAATGCCTGGACAGGACCCTAAGGCAATTTACACCTCCTAACAGCAGGGAAGCCACCGCCCATCAATTAACACCTCCCCATCCTCGGAAAGGGCGCTCAGTGATGCAGCACCTGCTCTGAGCAGGATGAAAGGAACCCATTCCCACCAGGCACAAACCTCAAAGGGGCCCTGCTCACTTCCCTTCGTTGCTGGAAGAAGCGTTTTATTGGAAGTTATGCCCAACCCACCGAGGCAGCAACAGCATCCAGTTCAGGGGACGGAACAGCAAAATCCACTTTACACACACGACAATCGTCCGAAAATCTCCACCGACGAGCATGCCTCACCATCACCGTTACACGGTCTCAAGAGCTCCCCACGGGGACACAGGCCCCTGCACGGACCCCTGGCCTGAGAAGGGGGCCGCTCAGTTCTGCAGCTTTTGTAAAAGGGTCTTTGGAAACTGGCAGGATGAGCCAAACACGCTCCTGGTGGTCACAGTTCCCTGCCGCACAGAGACACCGGGTGAGGCCTGAGGCTGCAGCGAACGTGTCCTTTCCGGACCAGGTCACACACCTAAACCGTCAGTCCTGCCGGGACGCGAATTTTGAAAACACAGATGTGTTCCCACACAGTGATGCACTGGGGCCATGTGAGCAAAGCGTGGATTTCACATTTGCTCTTGGGCACTCTCACCCGCGAGAAGCACCAGGTGGGTGCACCCAGCACGGGGCCGAGGAGGAAAACATGCCCCCTGGGTCTCCCTGTGAGCCCCACGTCCACACTCACTCCACCGTCTCACAAAAACCCACAGGCCGCGACCTTCCGGCGCCCAAATCCTCAGCCAACGTCAGGCCTCCATTGTGGCACTTATGTCCTGAGCCATTTAAGCCTGCATGACACTGCAGTATGGAGCTCCTGTCGGTGCGTAATGTGCCCTAGCCCCCGTCCCCATGGCCCTGAGGTGTGTGCTGTGTGATTCTGCAAAGTGTGGTGATTTTCAGAACGCACAGACTGCACTATGGCAGAACTGACTACACGATTCCTATGAAATAAGAACAAATCCAGAGTAAGCAATACCAGCCACCTGTGCAAAACCACTGTGGAAAGAAGACATATCCCATGCGGTTGGACACTCCCCTCCCCACACCGCCCAGTGATTTAAAAACTATAAAATCCAGTTTCTACACATAACCAGTCGCAGAGTTTCACACCCAATAATGGCAGAATCGTAGCTCAAATCATTGCTGCCCCAAAGCCGTGCGTGGTGGGCAGCCCCACTGCTGAGGAAAGTGGGCGGGGCCCAGAGATTCCCAAGGTGAGCTCTTCACGGAAGTGCCCTCACGCCTCTGACAGATACACTTGCCTGGGTCCCATCATCCCGGGCTCGCTTGATGTTCTGGCGTCCATCCACCCAGTAGATGAACTTGTCCAGTGGGTCGTAGTCGATGGCCTTGACGTTCCTCAGCCCGTGCAGCGGCAGGACGAGGTCCGGGCTGTGCTGGTCGTCCGGGATCATCCGGCTGATGGCATTTTTCTGGCTGAACAGCAAGAAGGTGCTGGGCGCTAGGGTGAGGCGAACAGAGCGGGGGCTGCGGGTCAGCATCCGAGAGCCGAAGGGAGAGCAGATCTACATGTGGAGCCCCCAGGGGACATGGGACAAGGCCAGGAGGAGAGAAACCTCTTCCGGTGGTGGACCACGGGGAATTTTACCCTCCGTGTTACATGTCTCGGTTGCAGTTTTTATGAGTGCCCGTCTTTTTAAAAACAGATATCAATTCATCTGTAAGTGATCAAGACTCAAGATGGCAGGAAGGAAGGCAGTGAGGACCAAGGGCCCACTGCAAGTGTCTGTCAAGCTCGGGTGACATGTCTCCACGTGCTAGGGAACTGCTGAGGAGCATGTGGGGTGAACAGTGACCCCAGGAGGGCACGCTGCCTGGGGTCAGTGAGCAAAGCTGCCAGCTGCAGGAACGGCATCTCTCAGAATGTGCAGGAGACCACGGGCTGCAGCCACCGTCCGACAGCGCCGTCCTCTGCCCAGGTCACCGGCCACAGGCGTCCCCTCTGGGTGCGGGGTTACCTGCACCTCTGCTTCAAGGTTATGGCCCCCAGGGGGGCAGGGACAACAGGACCAAAGGGAGCCCAGGGGTGGGGGTCCCAGGCTGCAGCCCAGGCCCAGCTCGCACCAGCTCGGGGCCTCATTGACACGAGGGGATGAGGAAAGCCAGCCCTCCTGGTGCCGAGGGCTGTGTGACCTCAAGCCAGGCCCAGGCAATAGAGAGAGCTCTGCACGCTGCCCCGTGCTGCACACGGGCTGAGGCATGACGGCTCTGATGCTACGGGGAAGAGCCCGCCAGCAGAACCACCGCTCTCCCTGGGCCCGTGGGCAAGTCGCCCTCTGGCTCCCTGGAACTCACTTTTTTATCACTGACATGAGAGCTTTTAAAAAGGCCCGCATAATTCAGAGTGTCAGTGTGAGGATGACACGTGTGAACGTGAGGCCACCTGGCAAGGGGTCAAGAGCAGGGCCTCTGGAGCCAACCTGTCTGCACTCAAACCGGGCTCAGGCCTTCCCGGCTGCGTGGCCCTGCACGGGTTACTATGCATCTCTGTGTCAGGTTCCACGCCTGTAAGTGAGATGGGGACAGTGACACTTCCCTCCCTGCAGGTGTGAGGACTGAACGAGAGCCACAGAAAGGACTAGAACAGGGCCTGCCTCCCCGAGCGAGCGCTCTCTCCCAGGGACCACAATTCCCCGTGGGATGTGCCAGCTTGGGGCTTGGCCCAGCTCCTGTGTCTTGATGAAGCAACAGGCCCTTCGCCCAGCCCAGGCCTCAAGGTAACATTGTGCAGTTCGTGCACCAAGGCGCCCTTTCCCTCCCAGCCCCGGAGCCAGCCTGGCCCAACACGGGACGCGCGGCAGGGGACGCGAGCACTCACGGCTACAGTTGCGGCTGCTGGGGTCCAGGGTGTAGTGGGAGGCACAGCTGCAGCGGTGGCCTCCGGGCACGGCCAGGCACAGCTGCCCGCACTGCCCGTTGCCGTGCACGCAGTCGTTGAGGCCGTCCTGGCGGGAGGAGTGGAACACCAGGATGTCCATGACGAAGTCCAGGTGGCCCTGGATGAGGGTGCGGTTCCGGCCGCTGGTCTTGTCGGCCCGCTCGATGCTGTGCAGGTTCCAGTCCGTCCAGTAGATGTAATCGCTGTACTGGGTCAGGCCGAAGGGGTGTGGGAGGTCGTCGGCGATCACGGTCCTGTCCTGACCTGCGTGGGACACACGGGCAGGGCGTCAGCAACAGCAGAGCACGCCCGCAGCGCAGGGCGCCCTGCAACCTGGCAGCCTGTGCCGGGGCCAGAAAGTTCGACCACTTTGGAAAACGAACAGGACTGACTGACGTTGGATGTGCACCACCCTGGGACCGGGCAACTCCTCTCCCATTCACAGGAGAAACGCACGCACACAGTGTGCACCTGCACCATACGGACAAGAGTGTGGGTGGCAGCCACTGGCTGTGACAGCCATGGGCTGGAAACAAGCCAAACGCTCATCAATAGCAGAATGAAGGAAAGGTAATGGGATCTTCAAAGACATTCGAAGCTGGCCATTAGCCCCGTAAACCAGGACAGTCAGCATGCAGGGTGGGTGTGGCCCGGCCCACACAAAAGCCCGGACACTGGGTCCTAGCTCTGCTCACACCTGGACCTAGCCATTCAGCGCACCTCTGTCTCAGTTCCCTCATCGGCAACATGGGCACAACCACGCCCACCCCGGGTGAGGGCAGCAGAGATGAGGCAGGAAGCCAGATTCCTTCTGCTACACAGGGCAGCCCCGTGACCCCACAGAGCTGACAGGACTACACCCCTCCAGCAGGACAGAGCCCAGAGTTACGTGTTCCGGGTTCAAATCCTGCCCCTACTGCTGGGTGACTTGGAGCGATGTGTTTTTTTACCTAATCCCAGGGTGTTGGGTATAGCTTGTGAGTGGTCCCAGAACAAACTAGCACATAGTGGGTGCTCAGGGTGAAGAAGGGTGTGTGGCCCTGGCGTCTGAGCGGCACTCTGTGACCTGAGGCCAGTCCTGTGACCTCCCTGGGCCTGCTTCCCCACCAGTGAAAGCCTAGGCCACGTGGTGCGGTGTCAAATCAGAATGCTAGCCCAGGGCTTAGCTGGAGCCCAGCTTTCGGTGCCCGAAACTGTGGTCACGGGGCCTCTGTCGACACACCCACGGCACAGTGCGGGAAGGGACGGCCCTCGAGAGAGAGGGGAAGTTGGGTGAGCATTCGGGGCATGCCCACACCTCCTGGAGGGCCCGGGGATTCGAAGGCCAGAGGGCACAGTGCAGGGGGGCTCCAGCCAAGGACACCCATCCCCCAGGACCACCGGCCCTCACCCAGCATGTTGGATGACTCGATCATGTTGGTGTCCAGGTCAGTCCAGTAGAGGCGCTGGTCTGCGTAGTCGATGGTGAGGTCATTGGCCCGGCCCACCTTGTCCACCAGCGTCATGCAGTTGGTCCCGTCCATGAAGGCCCGCACGATCCGTGGCTTGCCGCCCCACTCGGTCCAGTAGATGTAGCTGGAAGACACGGGAGAAAGGCAGGTCGGGCTCAGATGCGTCCACACTCTCGGCAAGGCAGGGAACGCGGCCGCCACCGACTCCTACGCTGGGTCCTCCCCGCCCCCGAGAAAGCCACTTCCACCACATCCCTCCGGGAAGCAGGAAAGAGGCCAGACCCGGGTCCCCACCACCCGCCATCCCTCCAGGGGCCGTCACTGTGCCACCTCCTGCCACCTGAATGCCTGCAGCTGCTCACCTGCAGGGGAAGTGTGGTCACCCATTTACAGGCACACACAGGTGCACAGACAAGGTGGTGTGTAACAGAACCACCAGCTGGACTGCCTTTGTCAAGGACAAATGCTAACAAACCCGCACGGGATGCTGGATGACAGGGGAGCCAGGACGAACGTGGGCGAAGCAGGATGTGGGAGAGCAGGACACAGGTCCGAGGCGGCAGGCGCGGCAGCCCTCAAAGGAAATCAGCTCTGCCGCCTCCTGACAGCTCCACGAAGAGGAACCTCCGTCCTCCTCCCAGGATCAGGCACGTGGGACTTGCCCTTTCGCTAAAACCTGGACCTCCCTGTTCTGCTACCCCTAATAGGGCAAGCGGCAGGCCGGATTTGGGGTGCTCCCTCCACATGGCTGATGCCTTCTGGGACCAGCACTGTGCCAGCTGCTCAGAAAAGGAATCTCGGAGCAGAAGGAGACGCCCCCTCCGCCACACCCCAGCCCCAGAGCCCCGGGGCAGAGCCCAGGCCTCCCACACGAAGCCTGGAGCTAACCCTCGGCTAAGTGCAATCCAAGGGGCTCAAAGCCAGCTCCGAGAAGGTGGAGCCTGGTGACAGGGGCGAGGGAAAGAACAGCCCTTCCTGGCCCAGCCCTGCTCTGACTGGCTGTGTGGCCTTGGGTGAGGTGCTCAGCCTCTCTGAGCCTCAGTTTCCATCTCTGTAAAATCAGGAACAAAACACCCCCTCCCTCCCACAGGCCTCCTGGGTGCTGCAGGGAGACAACCCACATGAAAGCGCCCAGCGCAGCCCGATACAGCGGCTGCCACTCCGTCCTCGGCTCTGGGCCTCAGTTTCCCCCATGAAACAAACTACATGATCTCCGGAGTGCAGCCGGCCCCGGCCACCTCAACGCTAGAGGCGGTCAGTGCTGCTCTCATCACGGAGAGCCAGCCGGGCAGCCACCACCTCGGTCTCCGGTCATCCCCGTGCTGGCGGGTACAGAGGCGGGAGGGGGCCGGAGACACACGTGCCCGACAAAACGGTCCTTACCCCTTGGTGGGGTCCAGGGCCAGCGACCTCGGGTTGTCCAAGTCCCTCCACACAAGGACCTGCCGGAACTGCCCGTCCAGCCGGGCCACTTCGATCCTGTTGGTCCCGGTGTCCGCCCAGTAGAGGTTCTTGCCCATCCAGTCGACGGCCATGCCTTCCGGGTAGTCGAGGCCGAACTCGATCACGTGCTCCACCGAGCTCCCGTTCAGGAAGGCGCGGCTGATGGTCTGGGGGGCGGGGGCAGAGGCCACGGTTAGGAACCAGCGTTCAGGCAGACATTTAACTCTGAGCTGCTCCGCCACCTGGAGCAGCTGCTCACCACATCGCTGACCGGATCACCAACATGCGAGAGTTTCAAAATACACTCGTCAACTATAAACATTTTAGAAAAAGTTTTAGCTATTCTTATTTGTAATATATGTTTTATAACTACATATTTTATATACTTATAAAACAAAATACTTATAAGTAAATTACATATTATACATCTCTCTATCTCTCTCGATAGATAGATAGATAGATACATAGATAATGAATCTTAAAAACAGCTGTGTCCTTCCACTCAGTAATCCTCCTCCTGAAATTTTACCCAAAAGAATGAACAAAAATACAAAAGATGGGGAGCTACTGGAAATACTGAAGGGGCTTTGCACGCAAAACCTTTGCCGCTGTGGTTGCCGAGAGCTGCGAGAAGCGGAAGTGACCAGAAAACACATAAAATGAAGGAATGGTCACGTACAGTAGGGAATGGCTGTGCAGTGGAATCTTTTACGCTGTTAAAAAGTTCATAAAAGGCTAACAAAATAAATGCCTTTTAAAATGCTAAGTGGAAAAGACCAGGAAACAGAATGCTATGTAGCATATGATTGTGATTAAGAGAAATACTATCAGAGGAAAAAAAACCCTCAAAGGAAATACACAGAAGTGTGAGGAGGGATGGTTAAGTTGGGTGACGGGTGACTTTTATTTTCTTCTTTATACTTCTCTGTGTATTTCCCTCTTTCTACAATGAACCCTGGTGACTTCTAGAATCAGAACAATCTTTCAGAAACATCATATAAATGGTAGAATAAAAGACAGATGGTTAAACGGCTCTAGCTGTAAACACTGTACTTCAGAACAGGGGTCGGCAAACTGGTTCTGTAAAGGGCACTAAATGTTCTAGGCTTCATGGGGCACAGGGATCTGTCAAAGTTCAACCTAGTGGCACAAAGGCAGGCGTGGGCAACCCGTAAACAAATGGGGATCGCCATGTTCACATAAAACTTTATTTGCAAAAGGAGGAGGCCGGCCCTCGGACAGCCTGCCAAACCCTGCTTTCCTTGTATTTATCCAGGATGTTCATACCTGCACGTGAGTGAAGAGTTGGCTAAGCAAGTGCACATGGGGAAGGAGGGGGAGGGTGATGCTAAGGACAGTGTCACAGACGTCTCTCGGCTACCCAATCGCTCTAGAAAAGCCCATTTGTGGGTCTCCTGGATCTGCCCACTGTAATCATTCACATTAGTTTATTAAAACAGGCTCACTAATATGTTACTGGCTTGAGTCGAGTTACAAATATTTTAAAAAACTGCCCAACCGGCGTGGGTCAGTGGTTGAGCATCAACCTATGAACCAGGAGGTCGCTGTTCAATTCCTGGTCAGGGCACATGCCTGCGTTATGGGCTCCATCCCCAGTAGGGGGCATGCAGGAGGCAGCCGATCAATGATTCTCTCTCATCCTTGATGTCTCTCTCTCTCTCTCTCTCTCTCTCTCTCTCTCTCTCTCTCTCTCTCTCTCTCTCTCTCTCTCTCTCTCTCTCTCTCTCTCTCTCTCTCTCTCTCTCTCTCTCTCTCTCTCTCTCTCTCTCTCTCTCTCCTCTCCCTTCCTCTCTCTGACATCAATTTTTTAAAAAAATTAAAAGCCTCTGAGGCAGCCCCCCTGCAGGCAAGGCGTTCGCAGGAGAGCTGTGTGCAGGCACCTGGCGGACCGTACCTTCAGGCTGACGTCCGTCCAGTAGATGTGATTGTTGGACACGTCAAAGTCCAGCGCGGAGGCCTCCTTGACGCCCGTGAGCGGGATGGCCACGTCGTTGTTGTTGGTCTCCAGGGAGATCCTGTGGATGGTGGCCCTGCTGGTGAACACGAGGAAGGCCTCGGGGACGATGCAGGTCTTCATGTCGCTCAGCAGCTCCAGGCCGATGGGGCAGCCGCACTTGGTGGCACGGGGGGTGAAGAAGCACAGGTGGCTGCAGCCCCCGTTCTGGTCCGCACACGGGTTGGTCCCTGGGAGGCAACACACAGGCCCGACACGTCAGCAGCCCGGCAGAGCGCGTGCCATCCGCCCACAGTCACGTGGCTTTATTTCCACCGGACACACACGGGGACCCTGGGTGGAGAGGGCGGAAGCCCAGGCCTTCCCTGGTACCGGAGAGGCAGTGACGAGGGTCCCGGCGGGTCCCCGTGTGCTGACTGGCTCTGAGCACACAGCGATCTGGGAGGTGGAAGCTAGTCCCATCCCTGGTTCTCCGTCGAGGAAACGGAAGTGTGGAGAGGTTAGTGAAGGTGACACAGTTAGGAAGTTAGGATGCAGCTCCGCGAGAACAAGAACCAGGAGGTCTGCCTCCAGGCCCGAGCTCCGACCCCGGGTGGACACAATAATGGCACCAGGCGATGACAAGACAGTCGTCCCTCCCCGGGCCGGACTCCTGGCCTGCGGACCGGAGCCTGAGACCCCACTCAGAGGCTTCCTCCGATTCACCGACTCTCTGGGCGACCTTAAGAACTCCGATGTGCCCAGGACGGCCAAACACCGCTCTTTTTCACTCAAGTAGATGGTGCTCAGCATGTTCATTCATTTCTGGCCAGCCTGTCAGTCGCCCTGATCTACTGGGATGCTGTTAACATTGGCTCCAACTTAATGTCAAGTGTTTCAGCTAAAAAAAGAATGCTTTTCCCCATCTCTCGCAGTAAATCCTGAGATGAGACAGAGAGAAGGGGGCGGGGGGAGGGATGAGCCTAATTTCTCAACTTTAAATCACACCCTGTGGATACGTCTTTTTTTAATCATCTCTGGGGTTTTGTTTTTTTAAACCATCACTCACAGTGGCCGCACCACCCACATTGGTGACGAGTGTGTTTTACCAGGTGGCTGTACAAGGGAGCGTGCGATTCCATCGTTTGTCTCAGGAGTGCAGGTGGGGACTAGGCCCTGAGATGCAGCAGCAGTGGCCACTCCCAGGTCAGCCCCCACGGCCTAACCTCCGGGCCTTTGCTCAGCCATTCCTTCTTCCCGCAAACCCCACTCCGCACCTGCTCCTGAAATTCCAAGCTCCAGTGACCTCCCAGGCATCCCTGTAACATCCCAGCTAGAGCCACCGCCTGAGAGCTAAGGGGAGTCTCGCCCACCCGACTGTAAGTATTTGAGGACAAAGGTCTGCTGAGCACCATGTGCAGGCGCTGTACCAGCCAGGGGGCCTCTGCGGGGAGCAGCGCCCCTGCCCCATGGAGCCGCAGCCCCCGTACTGGCCCAGCCCACCTGGACGCTACTCTCTCCGATGTAGCTTGTGGACCTGCACTTGGAATCCTTTTGATAAAGAGACAAAACTGCATGAAGGGAGCTCTTTTGCAAATCTTGGCGATGAGGTGGAGGCAGACCCAGGCGTGAGTCCCAGCTCAGCCACCGGCCACCGTTAGCTGCGTGGCTTTATCTCCGCCTCCCCAGCGTGAATGGGCAATATTGTAAATAGCACCTAGGGTGGCTTTGGGCACTGAGGCATACAGCAGGCGCTCAGTAAGTGTTAGCCATTATTGTAACAGTTACTGCCAGCAGCGCCCGTCCATACCCACTGCCTCGACACTATCCCCGGGCAGTACCCCACCCCATGCCCACCCATCCCTAACCACATACGCTCATCACCTCCTGCCCTGCCCAGACCACAGCGAGGCTCCCCAGCTGGACACATATGCCCCCAAACTGGGCCGCCCGTGGACCAAAGGGCAGCCACAGCCCTGCCGCTTCCTCCGCACACCAGCTGGCACGGCTGACACACGGTTGGAGGCTGACCAGACTCACCGACGACCTTGGCCACATTCACGGCCTTGAGCCCCATCAGGTCGGGCAGCTGGTCGACGATGACGTCCCGGCTGGCCTTGACCTTGTGCACGCGCTCGATGCTCCGCCGCTGCCAGTCGGTCCAGTAGATGAAGTCCCCCAGCAGCGTGAACCCGAAAATGTGCGGGAGCTTGTCCTCCAGGAGCATCCGCCTCTTTGTCCCATCGACGTTGATCACCTGGCGGACGGAGACAGGAGTCTGAGCCAGCCGAGGCCTGAGCTGCCTGACACAGGCCGGGCTCGACTCTGGGAGCCTCAGCTCCCTCCATCTGACCTCACCAGGCCACCACAGCGAGGACCCGGTCAGGGCCTCTCCTCGCAGCCCCCCTCTCTGGGCGGCTGCTCTGCTGAGAGGGCGGCGTGGTTGGGAACAGGTGAGGCAGACAGGGGGCTGCTCCCACCGCTAGCTGCTCAGCTGGGGGCGGGCTGCCTGGTACCAAGGCCGGGTCTCAGCCCAGGGGTGGGCTCCACGGGAAGCAAGCCTGCCCCGGGCAGCACAGGGAGCCGGGACCACCCTCGGACGCGGAGCTGAGTTTCAGAGGTCCGTACAACTGCGGCACTGCGGGCCCTGGGCACCGCCACCCACTTATCTACTGGGGTGCTGTGGACGAGCTTCCCGCCAGGTCAGGACCCGCTGAGGCTGAGGGCGCTCTGGTTCTGACTGAGCTGTAGCGCCAAGATGCCCCCCATCCTCGCACCCCAGCACCGGTTACTCTGAGAGGCACACGCTAAGCCCTGCTCTTGCGTCGGTGCTGATGCAAAGCACCGACCACAAAGGCCACAGAGGAGAAAAATGCCGTCCAACACAAAAGGCCGTGCCCCACCGGAGCGCACACACCGGCTAGGATGGGATTCTGACAACGGGGCACCGTGTCGAAGCTTCTGATAAAAGGAAGACGATAAAAACGCAACAGCCAAGCGTGGGCTTTCCGCCCCGATGAAAGCGACAAGCACATCAAAAGCAGGTCTCCGCAGGCCTCCCGCAGACAGACGATGCTTCCAGCTCGTCAGGAAAGCGAAAGCCCTCCGCTCTGCAGGGGCAAACACCCGGACAGAGCGAATGCGTGCGGGGCAGAAAGACTTCGGTCCTCTGGTGTTGGACGTTCCGGACAAAGCCGCCGGGCCAAGCGGCAGGGCCAGCTGCCAGGGCCCCGCCTCAGCTCTGCCCATGGGCAAGGCCCTGCACCCCACAGATCTAAGTTTCTCCACCTGAAACTTAACCCGGGGAACTTAACCAAGCGAAGAACAACAGCTGGACCCCAACCGGGGGCCACGCCATCAGAACCGGAAGGCCCTGGGCCAGGTGTGGGTCCTGCGAGCAGCCCAGGTGCGAGCCCTAGATTGGACCACCCCCTTGTGCCAGGAGCCGGGGAGTGGCCGCCTCACCTGGAAGGCAGACCTCAGGTTTTCGGATTTCCTCCGGGACCCTGGGCGCCACTTCCTGGCCCCTGGGGGCATCCGTACAGTTGACCCTTGAGCAACACGGAGATGAGGGGCACGGCCACCTCCGTGCTGTCGAGAACCCAAGAATAATTTCTGACTCCTCCCAAACTTAACTGCTAATAGCCGACTGTTGACTGGAAGCCTTGTCGACAACGCAGTTGATTGACACTTACTTTGTATACGCATTCTATTACTGTATTCTTACAATAAAGTAAACCAAGGGAAAGAAATGTTATTAAGAAAATCGTAAGAGAAAGTAAATTACTGAAAACAGTCCGCATACAAGCGGACCCAGGCAACTCAAACCGTTTAAAGGTCAACTGCAGATGGCGGGTGATGGATTAACCCTGGCCGGCGTAGCTCTGTGACTGAGTGTCGGCCTATAAACCAGGAGGTCACGTTTCAATTCTAGGTTCTGGGCTCGAGCCTCAGTGGGGGTGTGCAGGAGGCAGCTGACTGACGATTCTCTCTCATCATTGATGTTCCTCTCCCTCTCCCTTCCTCTCTGAAATCAATAAAAAAAATTTTTTTTTAAAAAACAAATGTGTGGTAATTATTATTTTGAGGATTCTATTTGCCCAACGAACAGAGCCCAGGGCCTGACACACACATGGGTTGGGAGCAGGGCATGGGGGGCAGGGACAGGTTTGGGCTCTGCCAAGAGCTCAGAGCCCAAGGTCGGCTGGGCCAACATCTATACTGAGCCGCTTCCTGACCCGATGCTCACCGTGGGGACGGCTCACCTCGATTTTGTCCGTCTTGGCGTCTCCCCAGTAGAGCTTCCCCTCTTGCAGGTCCAGGGCCAAGCCGTTGGGCCAGCCGAGGGATGTGTTCACCAGGACGCGCCGCTCCTGCCCGTCGAGGTTGGCGCACTCAATTTTGGGGTTCTCCCCCCAGTCTGTCCAGTACATGAGGCTGGAGAAGAAGAAGCGCCTGTCCATGACAGTGTCTGTCTGTCCTGTCCCTGCAGGACCGGGGACTCCGCGGGGACAGGGGTGCCCCTGGACTGGAAGGACCAACAGAGAGCAGACGCCCTGACGAAGGACCCGGGTGTTGGGGGGCTGAGCGCCGAGAGGGAGGAAGAGGCCAAGTGGAACCTTCTCCAAAGAGCGGAGGGGCTCCCGTGTGCAAAGCAGGTGACACGTGCTCTGTGGCCCCGAGAAGCAAAACTAGACGCTGCGGTGGCAGCTCCAGGAAGAGGGTGAGCACTCGGACAACGTGCCTGAGCTGTGCCCGACCCTCGGCTCTCACACACCCGACTCCCGGCCCCATTTCCCCGGGGACCTGAGACCCAGAGCTGGGAGGGGCCCTGGAGTCTGCTCCCCCACCCCCAGCAGAGAACAGCCCCGAACCACAATCCCTACCCTGGGGCCAGCAGTGAGCGCCTCGGCCTCCCTGTCTCTCACACCTTTGCCCACCTCCTTGGGGGACAGTCCTGCCCTTGGCAGCTGACACAGAGCCGCATCCGTCTACCGGCCTCCCCCGGAGCAAATCCCTTAACCTCTCTGGGCTTCAGCTTCCTCCACGGTTCAACCTTCCCCACGGGGTGAGGGGGGAGGAGACTTATCTACAGAAGCACATGATGTGCTCAGAAGAGTCCAGCCCCTGTGTGGTGACGCCCATCACTACGGCTGCCATTACTAGCCCAGAACTCACCCTGGGGACCGGTCCATTTTGCAGACACAGAGATTGAAGCCCAGGGGAGGAAATGACGCACCCAGGGTCTCCAGGGCTTTCTATACACACACACAGCCCGTGAGAGCTCCCCTAAGTCTGGTCCCCGGACCGGCAGCAGAAGCATCCCACTCAGACCTCCTGAGTCAGAGCTCGGGGACCAGGCCCAGCCACGTGCGTCGTAAGGAGCCCTCCTCGGGGGACTCTGACACAGGAGGAAGTTCCAGAACTTCCGTTTGGCCCGGCTGCCAGCTCCAGCCAGGGAGAGAGGCCCAGCCGCCTCAGCCTTACCCCATCATCGGGTGCAGCGCGATGGCGCGGGGCTCGTCCAGGTCCTCGGACACCAGGATCTTGCGGGAGGTGCCGTTGAGGCGCGTCACCTCAATGCGGTCCGTGCCCGTGTCCGTCCAGTAGAGGTTTCGGGCCACCCAGTCGACCGCGATGCCATCGGGGTCGTTGATCTCGGTGTTGACCAGCGTCTGCGCCCCCGACCCGTCCAGGTACGCCCTGCGGATGGCCCGCACCTCATCGTCCGTCCAGTAGACGTAGCCCTCCAGCGGGTCGTAGTCGATGGCGATGGCGTGCCGGATATCATCGACCTGCAGGACGATGTCGGTGAAGTCTGGCGTGTCCAGCGAGATCCTCCGCAGGTCCGTCCGCCGCGCCAGCAGCAGCACCTCCTCGGCCCCTGTGGGTACACGAGCAGTGGGGTGAGGCCTGCGGAGGACAAGAGACTGCGCCCGCTGTGGGCATGGCAGGGGAGGGGAGGGGCTCAGCAGGTCCCCAGGGTAACGTTAGGTGGCGTTCGCTAGATCTTCCTACACAGTCACCAGTTCATCCTCAAAGGAGCTCGACGAGGCTGGCACTATTTGTATCACCACAGGATAGATGAGAAAACAGAGGCACAGAGAGGCTAAGCCACCACCTGAAAGCCACACAGCCATCTGGTGTCAACCACGGCACAGCATAAGAGCTGCCTCACCAGCCCCAACTATAAGTCCTGCCTGGGCACTGGGCTCCAGGCCCCACTGGTGGTCCCACTGGGCCCCACCTTCTCTAGATGCTCACCCTCTGTGGCTCAGCTCAAATGCCACTTCTTCCCTGAAGCACGCCCCCTACTGTGCCTACCCCACAAGGCAGCCTCATGAACCACAACCACACCTATCATCGCACAGTCTGATTCCTTCCCAGGTGGCCGGTCGTGGACCAGGGTGAGCGCCTGGGACAGGCGCCCCAGGCTTCCTCTTTGTCTCCCAGCAGAATTAATACCTGGTGCTGTCCTGGGTCCTCCCTGCGGGGGTTTACCAGAACTCCCAGCAGGAGGGGCACACGGAACCTCAGGTGGACTCGGGGGCCCTGGGGTGCTCCCAACCCTGACCTGACACATCCGGAGACCGTGGGGTCAGCACGCGCCCCTCGCCTAGAGCTGGGCCATCCCTCACTCGTTCATTCTGGCCCCTTCTCGTCTCAAGGATCCACAGAACCAAGATTAGGTCCAGAGACCACTTCTCATACTTGGGGCCACTTACCTGGTTTGACGCAAGGCCCAGAATGGGGAGGGAGCCCACTGAAGTCACACAGCATGACAGGGTGCAGACAGGGACAGGACCGCCGGCACCTCCCTCACACCCAGGCTCCCAGGCCCCCCGGCACAGCCAGCTGCCCGGCCTCCTCAGCGCCTGGTCAAGCAATTGGTGGTCGGGTCTCCTGTACCTCAACGCCAGCTTCAGGCCGCTGGCTGCAAGGGCCAAGCCCGCCCACAGGTGCCCTGCATTTGTGCTGCTTAGGAGCCAGGGGGACGGGACCCCCGGCCCCTCCCTCACCCCCAGGCTCCCAGGCGCCCCGGCACAGCCAGCTGCCCGGCCTCCTCAGCGCCGGGTCAAGCCATTGGTGGTCGGATCTCCTGTACCTCAACGCCAGCTTCAGGCCGCAAGGGCCAAGCCCGCCCGGGCCAAGCCCGCCCACAGGTGCCCTGCATTTGTCCGGCTTCAAGGCCCAGAGGTCATCATCCGGTGCCTCCACTAGAGGGCGCACACGTGCCAGCCACGGCTTCATGAACCCAGGACCAGGCAAACAGCAGGCCTTGGGCAAGGGCGGCGGCCGGCAGGGCTCAGAAGGTGCCCCAAGTGCGCGACCGACGACACCCGGACACTTCCGAGATCCAAGTCCAGATTTAGTTAGAGGGGGTCCTGCAAGCTCAGATTTGATGTGTGTTGGAGGAAGAGGAGGGGAATTCTGAATTTCAACAGACTGTCTTCCTCTGGGCTCCCATTCCCAAAATGTCCTGTTGACATCTGACCTGTCCTTAAAGGCCCCGGTCACAGGCCTCCTCCTCCCCTAAAAGCCATTCACGCCTCACCTCCCCAGTGCATGGGCTGACCACACTCACGCACTGTCGGCCCCTCTGCTCTCCGCAGCCCCAGCACAAGGCCAGGCTCGGAGCAAGTGCCAACATCCTAGGACAAGCAGGGAGAATTCAGGGCGGAAACCTCCCCCACTGCCTCTGCTGTGTGACTGTGGGCAGGTCCCTAACCCTCTCTGGGCCTTGGTTTCCTCATTTAGAGTAAAGAATCAGCCGACCCTGTCTAGCCCTGACATCAAGGAGACCTTACTCCATAGAAG